TTTCTCGACAATGCTTCGCATATTTCGTTCAGCTTCAGCCTTGAAACTCTTATTGATGAATTATCACAACAAATAATATACTTGTCTATTTCTCTCAGATCGCTCAATCTCCATTTCGAGTTGTTGCAGATAAGTCAAGTTCCGAAATTGCAGAACGTAAATCTGAAAGAGAAGAAAGGAAAATGAAGAAGTCGCTAGTAGTTACTTCGTATCTTTCTTGTAACCTTTTTTCATAATTCTCGTACTCATCCATGTATTGGGGACGGAAAGCCTCAAATGTCACAGTTTGGTGAAAACCTGTTTGTATGATACCTGAAGTTTTGCATATCGCTTCTGCATTTGCTCGTATTCACGTTTTTTCCGTTCAATTTTCTCATCCAAGCTCATTTCGTCGTTGGCAACATTATTCAGCTTATTCTTCAGTATCGGAATACTTTGAGAAGAAAAGAACACTTAAACTTACACCAAGCTCTTCTGTTTCTTCATTTATCGCCGCTATTGCCTGTTGAAGGCTTTTTTCAGCCTCAGAGAGGGGGACAGGTCGAGCAGTTGCCGAATTTCTTTGTTCCTTAACATTTAAATGAAAAATTCCAATATTGAATTTTTTTACTCTGTGAGCGAGTTCTTTATACAAGAGATCATGAAGAGCGGCCGCTGTTTGAGGTAATTGAGAGGATAACTGACGAGCAACTTTGACGTCTTGCAACTGAATGAGCGTAATAATATTAATCGAGATCATGTTCTAAAAACTTTTTGATTAATAGAGGATTTTAAAGAACTCCATTGTTCATGTATGTCCTCCGAGGTTAGCTGCTTCGTAGCATTGTAAAGCACAGTAATGGCTGGTAGAAGCTCTTGCACAGCGTTGCCGTCAGCCTATAACGAAAAAGTTTGTTTCAAATTATCAATGAAGGAACCTGGTACAATCGCTTTGGATTCATTCTCAACCGAGAATTTTGCAGCATCAATAAAACTGCTTGTTTTATGAAAATTACACGTTCCTGTTCTGTTTCAGTTTGCTGAGCACTCAGCGATGCATTTGGCTCGAACCTTAACAAATATCACTTATATGACAGCGTTTGTAACTTCACCTTTTCACTATCCATTCTAAAAGCTCGGCAACAAGCTTGAAGTTCGGTGTACGAAAGTTTTCAATCGACAATTGCCGCGGATAGCCTAATGCGCGGGTCATTTCGCAAATATCTGCGTTATATAGATAGTATATGCAATATTAAAGAACTTAAACTTACTCCTAAGCTCTCTGTACGACATTTTTGAAAATAAGCTTCTCAGTATGTTCTATCTCGTATTGAGGTTACCATGGTAACACACAGCGCGAAACGCGTCTTTCTTAGTTCTTAGTATTGTTAAGTTCTTTTAATTCCTGCACTCTCTCATAACCCAATTTTTCAATAGTAACTTCTCATTAAGATACCAGTTCCATTCGTGTACAATGTTTCAAAACTATTGATGTAAAAAATTTGAATTTTCATTACTGTCGTTTTCTTACGTACGCAAAGCGCAGCCTATTAATCTAACCTCACGCCAGAGCTCGTACTATTAATTTTCTGCGTTCTCGACTGAGCAGAGCTTCCTTATCTTGTTAATGTGTAATGCATGATTTTATGAAGCAAAGTGTTGCGTTTCTTCCTGCACCAATAGGTAAAAAATACTTTTCAGGGTAAAACTTAATAATGGCCTTGAACAAGTGCAGTAAGGTTCTAGTCGGACGATTCTTAAATGCTGGTAATCGAAGACTAGCTTCAAGTATGCTTTGTCTTCTATTATTCTTTTCATTGGTTTTAATTGAGGTCTTACTGTCCGTGATGCTTTGAATCAAGCCTTGGATGAAGAAATCAGACGTGACGAACGTGTTTTCCTGTTAGGAGAAGAAGTTGCACAGTACGATGGTGCTTACAAAGTAATTTCTTTATTGATTCGTTTACAAATCTCATGTGTTAGGTTTCGAAAGGATTATGGAAAAAATATGGAGATAAACGAATTATTGATACTCCAATTACTGAAATGGGATTCGCAGGTTTGTGTCTATGAGTGAATAAATACCTATTTTTCTAGGTATTGCTGTTGGTGCCGCCTTCGCTGGACTTCGCCCAATTTGCGAGTTCATGACTTTCAATTTTTCTATGCAAGCTATTGACCAAATAATCAACTCAGCAGCTAAGACATACTACATGTCTGCTGGAAGAGTATGTATTAGCTATAGAACTGTTTTACATTTTATGTTCTAGGTTAACTGTCCCATTGTATTCCGTGGACCAAACGGAGCTGCTGCTGGAGTAGCTGCTCAGCACTCTCAAGATTTTTCAGCTTGGTTCGCTCACTGCCCTGGATTGAAAGTACGATCTATAATTCCAACAGTATTATATTTCTATATAGGTTGTCACTCCCTACAGTGCTGAAGATGCCAAGGGTCTTCTGAAAGCTTCCATCAGAGATGATAATCCAGGTTATTTTTTGGTTATATCTATATTTGACAAGCCTATCTTAAGTTGTTTTCCTCGAAAATGAAATTTTGTATGGTCAATCCTTCCCTGTATCGGATGAAGTTTTGTCCGAGGATTTCGTTCTTCCCATTGGAAAGTGCAAAATTGAACGGTATTTTTTTCCTTCTGATTTTTTTACTCAACATTTCATGTAAAGACCTGGTAACCATATAACTTTGGTTGCATACTCAAGAGGAGTCGAATTAGCTCTTGATGCTGCCAAGCAGTTGGAGGCCATTGGAGTAGAAGCCGAGGTATTTGAAGCTATAACAAATTTAATAATTCATATATTTTTCCAGGTTATCAACATCCGCACTCTCCGCCCACTCGATTTCGAAACCATTAAACAATCAGTTATGAAGACCAACCATATTGTTACTGTTGAGTATGGATGGCCTTTCGCAGGTTATAAATTCAACTTTATTCAGTTGTACTCATTGAATTTTCAGGAATCGGAGCTGAAATCGGCGCTCAAATCATGGAGTCAGAAGCATTTGATCATCTCGATGCTCCACTTTTGAGGTATGTGTTATCAACAGCTCATTGTGGTTTCTGGATTTTTTCTCAGGCCATTTCTTTAACTTTGATATGATCCGTCGTTGTTTTCTCGTTATCACAGAACATCTTATCAGGCGATATTGAATTTTTTTGCTTCAGAGTAACTGGCGTTGATGTCCCTATGCCATACACCCAAACCCTCGAAGCTGCAGCTTTACCACACGCTGGACATGTTATTTCTGCAGTCAAGAAGAGTCTCAACATCCAATAGGCTGGAGCACAGTTTATAAAACTCAGCATATTAATTATGAATTTGGCTCACTTACAAATTTGACACAAGTTGGTTAATTGAACCAATCTTGCGAATGTTAGGTAGGTTTTATTTTGCGATATCTTTAGTTAAGTTGTGAAATTATCTGAAGCTTAGTTTTTCTAATAATTGATTCTATTCCCGAGTTATGTGCCGTCGAAAATGTCATTGAACTATCAAGAGCTATATTCTTTTAGTGAATTGTCAATCGAGTAGCTTAAAAATTTGGGTAAAGTTGTTAGTTTCCTTCATTTAGGCACTATTTTTTTTGCATTTTAATTTTTTATCTAATGAAAGATTCTTTAATATCATTGCTTTCAATTTTTCAAAGTATAGATACATATGGAAGTAACATTGATCGTGATTTTGAAACCGGTCAGAAATTGTATCACAGTTCTATCTAAAAATTTTCACAAGAATGCAACCGTTCCGTACATGAGTACAGAAGTGTATATAAAGTATAAAATAGATAGAAACACCATAAGATAAAAGCACAATAATTTGAGATTATAATGGTTCCACATTTCCTTGAGATTGTTGTACAGTTCTCCCATTTAGGTAAATAGCAGTTGTTAAGAGTTATTGTTGACAAGCCACCCATACAGTTTTCTTCTGTTCATGATCAACGTGAACAGTAATCTTAAGAAACATATCCATGAAATAATAATAACAACTGAGAATTACCTGCTGGCAGACTTGTTTCACAATATTCCGCAAAGGGCTCTGTGATGGAACTTGAATAACAGAGAATATTATTCCTAATTTGTTAAGCTCGTTTTCGCACACAATGGCCTGAAGTTATGATTTGAATATATATCAGTTACAAGAGGATCTATACTTTTTCCTGCAGCTCTTTAGCTTGTTTAGAACTCATTTTTTCACCCGTGAACTCTTCGCGAATTTCTTTTATCTGCTTAGTAGATTTGAATTTTATTCTAAGAAAATTGTATTAATTAGGGACTGGTTGGATATTACCTTATCACAATTGGGTGGATGCGTAACGAATGTAATCGTTGTATAGCACTAGGAGATATGTCAATGAGACAATGTAACCTGAAAGATATTTTTGATATCGGTACTTGTGAGAAGAATTATGTACCCTTGTTCCATAATGTTGTTGACTGCTGTTGCAGATATAACATCGAAGAGCTTGTCTCTCTTGCGCACGTCAATGAGTTCACAAGTATGAAGCAAACGATCAACATCCATAGACTGAAGAGCTCGGCATTCTGGTACAACTTGTGTAAATCTTAAACAAAATAAGTCTGAAAAAAAGTAGTTCGAAGATTATCTCACTTGGCAGAATCATCTAATAAGAACTGTACAAAAGGAGCTACAAAAGCTCCATACAAGATTACTGGTCGCTGTTTACTAGAGCATACCCGCTCCATTCTTTCATAAACAGGTCGAGTTAAAGGTGGTAATGCAGATCTCCCCTGAAATTGAAGTTTTTTTCTAGTACAAAAGTATTCAATACTTTTTGTTTTCTGCCTTTCTGCTCTTGTCTTTCCATAAAGCTTGAAGAAGGTATAATACCATTCTCCCTCTGAAATAATAATTCAAAGCGTTCATTTTTCGAGAAACGTGCCTGTCGTCCTTCCCTATCAACTTTCCAAGCACGCCAACGACCACGTTGGCCCATAAACATTGTTTTGTCGACAAAGACAATTTCTCCCTCAAAGGATTTGAGTTATATTATTGTTGATGGATAAAACTCTTACTGCTTTGATATCGAGCTCGTCTTTATTTTCACTGCTCCTGTCAACGTTGATACGCACATAGAAAGAATCTCCATCAGCTCCTAAGCGTAGTCGATTTAGCCTATCAGCTCCTTTAAAACACTGCTTATGTTCATAATGAGGCTGGTCATACCATCTTCAATAAGAAGTTCTGCCAACTCATCCAATGACTCTAGAAGTGCCTCAGTGGCTTCTTCGTGAGTGGCTCCTCTAACATTATAACCATCAATTTCCATGATTAAATCCCCTTCCTATCAATTTGAAAAAAATTAGACAAAGATATTTCAACTATAATATTACTTGAAGATCCCCAGCAGAAGCTTCTGCTAGGATTCCAATTGCATTGCCTCCGCATAACCTTATCTGTTTCCTAGGTACATGCACCCATCGAGCCGTCGATTGCCCCGAAACCAAGAGTGATACCTGAGAATCATCTAAAAAATAGAAATAGATTGGAAAAAGAAAATGTTACTACTTGTGCCATATTTGTGCGAGACTTGCTGTTTCTCTCCTGGTCTCATATTTATTCCTCCTACTTCTAAGAGCCTTTCTCCTCTCTTTACATGGCTATTCATTCTCATGGGTACAAGTGAATTGCTTTCCATCGAATATCCAAACTCACTTCCTGAAAAAATTCTAGGTTTCCATTAAATTCTAAAGTAATACCGTCGCGACTCATATGACCTCTTCGGAAATGTTCGGAGGAATCTGACATAAGAGTTCCTGTTGGTGCTACAAAATCGTTAAACATCAAGATAATGGTTACTGATCCTTACAATTGTTTTGGAAACTGTGATATGTAACATTCACGGAGCTACCTCCTGGAATAGGTAAAGAGTTTGTAGACGATATAACTGATGACATGGAATCTTCTCTCGGTCCAGGATATGGAGGCGGTTGCGGTAGAGCAGGGCTGAATGAATATTTAGAAACGACAAAAAAATTTCCTTACCTATAACATGAGACTCTATTATCCGCTCGTTGTGAGAACGCGACGTGTTGTTGACTGCTTACAGGTGAGGTAACAAGTCTACCCTCTACTGATGGTGCATGTAGTAAAAGTTGTTGACCAGACTGCTGAACAGTTTGCCTAGTTTGCCTGGGCGACCAGGGCGGAACTGATGGTGACGGACAACCATGACACCTGCTAGATGAAGAAATTTCAGCAGACTGCCGTAAAGCACTGAAACATCAGGGTTATTCGTCAAGAGTTACCTAGATATGTTACCTAGTTGTAGCCGGAGAATTAGGTGTGCCGAAAACTGGAAAAACAGAAGGACGATTTAATCGTCTTCTTGGCAAAAGAGGTTCATCTTCCGGAACAGATTTAGGCCATGTTCTCCCTGGCCCGTCAGACATCAACGATAATCGACTGTAATTTAATTGTTAAGAAAAGAACCTTGCGCGTATTCTTGGATTATTCAAATGAGATGATACGTCGGCACACGTTGACGTGACGTGATCAAGTTGATGAATGCTAATTTCATTCAACTCAGCGTGATTACTTTATGATGAATAGTGTAATAAAGGATTTGTCTTACTTAGAATGAGTTTTGTTCAAATAATCTCCAAGTTTTTCAGCAATTCGGGCATTATCAGCCCCAGGCGGTGCTCTAGAAGAACAATTCCATTGGATATAATCGAATTGAGTTTCAATACCTTAAAGATCCATAGCGAACAAGCTCACTGTTAACATGCTGCGGTGTGGGAATACGTAAAGAGCCTTGACGATAAAACGCTACGTTATCTTGTTGATTTGTATCGATACTGGCTTTCGCTACAACATTACGAGGTTTCTCTGTATTGTGCCGTCCAAACCACTAATAACCTTCAATGCAAGAAAAATAATTATTATCAACAGTATACCTTCGAAAATAGGGTTCTCTGTTTAGAAGAGTGAATATCTTTAGCATAGAGGGATTCTGTTCTCTTTTTTCCATCAAGTAAACCAATAACCACTTGATTGTTAGAATCTAATAAAAAAGGATGAATAATCAAGCCTAAAAATGCTCGTCTTACACTTTATCAGTTGTTCAGCATGCTTGGCATCATAAACCGGGACATGATTAACATGAACTACTCGATTTCCAGGTTCAATTCCAGCTCTACTAGCAGAAAGGTTTGAATCTGTTGCATTGACAAAGACACCATTTCCAAGTTCGATTCCAATGTCTTAATACGCGTATTATGGAAGTTGAGCAGTTCAGTTTATACCAGAGGAGTTCCCTAACGTTACTTCGTGAATTTTGTTGGCGTTCGCTCTTCGTCTTATGACCATTTTCAGATGATGACTATTTTTCAGTATATCTATTACACTACGCTGATCCATGTCAGTAACATCAATGTCATTAACTATTAATATATGATCCAAACGCCTGAAAAATCGTATTACTGTCAATTTCATATTGCAAGAATTACTTTAGCATATTCTCGAGAGGAGAGCCAATCAGAACATCTTTAACATAAATGGGAGAATGAATGGCAAAACGATCGTCCGTCCGACCACCACTAAGAACAATTCCCAGATTAGGTTTTGGATATGACTGAAGTATTTATCTATTCAAATTCAAACTTCTAATCTTACTAAAGCGACTTCAACAGTATGCGTATTCCAAACATCTACAATTGGTTCTCGCTGTAAGTCCATTTCTCTTAGCCTTCTTAATGCTAGATCTCTCTCATCAGTCAATCTTTCTACCTTAACGGGAAAATTTTCAACTGATCATATAGAAAGAAATTACTTGTTTTCGTAAGTTGCCCAACCTCTCCATCGCTTCCGTACTCCTTTTGTTAGCTGCTGCCGTTTCCTCCATATTCACTAAACTTAAAACTTTAAGCATCACACATTGCTCGCTTACATTGGAGGAGGCGCCTAGTCTGATCTAACTTATTTGTTAAGTTTTGAACCTCATCGCTCTCTTTTTTTCTATTAGAAACTTCATTTAGAATTCTGTTGAGCTCATGAACAGTTTGTCTTAGGTTATCCCTTTCTTCAGACAAACGTTGGTTTTCCTCCAAAACTGAAGAACACAATTGTGTTAAACATATTTTGCAGAACTGAACCTGAGCTCCGCTCCAACATTGTCTCCTCGTAATCACGTTGTACAGTGTCTAATTGCAGCTTAATCCGATTTCTCGATTCTTCCATCTCCAATCTATAGGCAACTGCCCTATTAACATCGATTCGGATAGCATCAAGTTGTTCTTCCATTTGCTGAGTTCGGGCAGCTAATGAATCTCTTTCTTGCATAGCCTGTCTTGCTCTTTCCATCCATTTTTCTTCAGCAGCTCTAATTTCTCTATCCATTTCATCCTTTGATACTACATCATAAAAGCTTTTCAATGATATTTCGCAAAAACCTGCATCTCTATTTGCAGTTTTTTTTTCTCCTCCCGTTCATGTTTAAGTTTGCCTTCCAAATCCCGGATTTCATCCTCTAGCTCGTTAGCGTTCACATCACTCATCTAAAACTGTTTAGTATCAAAACTCGACAAAACTATGAAAAACCTTTGGCGTTTCAGGGTGGCTTGAACTCACAGGTTGTTCGTCATTGAATTTCGATGAGATCGCCACGAAGGCAACCTCATCCGACATTCGATCCAAACTAAATTGCATAATCATATGATAGAAGTATGATAAGTGAGATGGCGAGAAAAATAAGTTTGAATATACAAAAGTCAGTCTTCATTGAAATCTGAACATGAAACAAGCAACATTCTGCAATGATTGGAAACGGATTTTAATAGCGTTTGGATTGGCAGCAATCCTTTTGAATATCTTTTGAAAATGAATAAGTGCTGTGTCAACATATGAATGTTTTTTCTGTCTTTCTAGGTTGAACGCTGGGATAAAATAAATTGTTTTCTCGTTTCACTTTCTTCTCCACGTTGACATGGTCAACCTCTTTCCATAGAGAATATTCTTAATATATATAATATATGTACATATATCTTTCTCTCGTTCTCTCTCCTCATCTATCTTCTATCTCTCACCTTCTTCAGTAGTAAAATGGATACTGAAGAAACTGTAAGCTGTCGAGCTACTTACTTAATGGGAAGTAATAGATGGATAAAAGAAAATTGTGTTTCTTATGTAGAGAAAAAGAACATTTATCACAAAACGAGGTGAAAACTGACGAGACATAACCAAAGATGAAGGCATGAAGAGAAAGGTCAGCCTTTTCAACCTGTCTTCGATGTAGACGACAGGGAAAACGAAGTCATCGACAACGGCGATAACTGGAGAGACCGAATCGATTCGACTCCGCCCTTCAACATCGGTATTCCCTATGTGGTCAAAGGTGAACGGCCCTATCGTGATTCTGAGGATTTACAGGGCGAACTATTCCACGCCACGCCATTACCTTCGCCATCATCAACGGGATCGACACTGATCATACGGATCGGATAAACCGGCCAGCATGTTGCCTAAATCCCTCTTCTCCTTCAACGCCTCTCTCTCCTCTTTTATCTCTTATGACCTCAACCGTTTTGATTTAACCAATTCATTTCATAAACAAGAAGGTTAAGGTTGCAAATTCAGGATAACCAAAATGTATTTTTGAAAGTTTGAAGTATGAGAGATAAATAAATGAATAATTAACATTAGAAGAAGAGAATAAAGCAAACGAGCTAATATACATTTAATCAAACATAAATGAATTCGACGAGGTCATCTGTCAAAAAAATGATTTAATTATCAAAATTAAAGAAAGTATTGACTAGGCGTCAACGATGAGAAATGTCATTCAGATGCAATTCGTCATCCAAGTTTTTTACATGACTCTAAAAGGATGGAAAGGGTGAGTGCAAGTAGCAATTGAGTTTATCTATTCCAAAAGAAATATTTGAAATAGTAAAGAGGTTAAGATGCTTTAATATTTTTATACAAAAACAAATGAAAATTATGTTGTATTTGGGTCGAAGTTAGTGATGTACAATCTATATGTCTGATGAGAAATGATAAGAAACGATGGCTCATACGGATTACATCAACATTTCGTATAAAGATAGGTTTCAGACATATCCTTAAAGAGAGTTTTTATAATTCTCTTCAAGAGAAGAAAAACCGTTTTCATATTCTTCATTTTCGCGCAAAACGGAATGCGTTGGGACAGACGTGGCTAAGTAATATCATTTTTAAACCTGCAGACCCACAGGCCGGTTGTACATAAGAGGAACACGAAAGAAAAGAATTTTAATTTCTTTATAAATTGTAATGAATTGAAAAGATAAATGTTGAGGAAGATTCACTAGATGATGGAAAGAGAAGAAGAGGGGGATATGTCAATGAAAATCATAATGGAGTGTGTGTTCGACCTCAAGAGTTCATCACTACTGACATGCATACAGCAAAGACACGAAAACTTACAACTGTTTGTAAGAAAACATTCGAGAATGCCCAGATACATGATTTACAATAGCGAAGAATACTTGTTCTTTTCATTACATTTGTAGAGGTTAAAGCATGAAACGTTCCATAGACGATCAAAAAGAAAGGTAGAGTTCGGTCAGAAAACATATCAGCTTTGCAATCACACAAATGAAAGACGTTCAAGAGATGAACAAACAGAATAAATTAAAAGAGCTATGACTATCTATAAGAATCATAACTCTTCTGCTAACCAAGCTGCCAAGTTTCATAAAGGTTGTTCTAGCGACAATGAAACTTTTTTTCAAGAATTTCATGGAAAAACACGAAAAGGTCGACCATGATACAATCCGTTCAGAGAGACATGAACGGCTTTTTTTTTTAAAGAAAATAACGTTACAGAAACATCAATCTTCGTTTTGTTGATCACTTTTCCTCTTTTCACTCACTGTTACTATAATACCCGATCAATCAATAAATGGAGAAGAAACAAGAAACGTCTGCATACTGAATAAGGACTTCTTCAGAATGTTACAATACTTCTCACACTCTTCATAGAAGTGAGAGAGGAGGAATCAAAATTGCAAAGTGGAATGAACAATTGCAGAATGTTTAAATGCTCTGTTGAGCTGTCAAGACAAGGAAAAGTGACCAAATAAAAACATGATGTTCACAACACTTGATAAGCGTTAATATGGAATACGACTTTCAACTTCAGGTATTATCCCATTTACAAAGATATGATTAGTCATGAACGCCTTTATCAGTGAGCACCATTAGCAAAAGAAAATAACTTTAAATGAGGTGAGCACTTGTCTTTAAAAGGTGTTGATTTGTATGAATATGTGAGAGTGAATCATAGAAAATGATTGTACGAAACAAGAAAGATTATAAGGTTTCTGAAAAATGATGTACAGTGTTAGTATTCACAAGGAAATAAAAAGAAAAAGGAAATGACTCCTTAAAAGGTAAGATGAAGCCTTTTACACAATGTTTGTTCAACGTCAGTCTGTTCACTTAGTACTGAAAAATAAAAAGGTTGGGTAAAAGGAACATTGGCCGTTGTTAGTCGTAGTTGACACACTGCGGAGGCAGAGAGAGAGAGAGAGAAAGTGAGAGAGAGAAGGAGAGATATAGAGAGAGAGATACAAAAAGAGAAGCAAAGAGTGAACCACTGCGACGAGGGGATACAGTCAGAATGTAAGAAAAGAGAGGCAGAAGGAGAGAGATAAGCACTTATAAGGAGAGAAGACGTAAACGGACTGGATGAGATGGACGTTCGTTTACGAGAGATTGGCAAGGTGAGAGAATAACCTTATTGGTTCATCGTAGTCATCCAAATGAGATAGCCCACTGAACCGTTGATTATAACGTTTCGGCTCGAGTCAAAAATCTCTTTTCGTACATCTCTCTCGAATAGTGAGTTAGTTCTGTGCCTTATGTATGAAACTCTTTTTCAATCAGTGCGAGGTCGGACAAATCAAGACCAAATTGTTCCTATCACGACCTAATGGGCACAGTTGTTTACTCGTTTTACTACCACTGAACAATTTTCTCATCAGTTCGACATCAGGCAACACAAATTTCATTTAAATTTTATTAAAATCACGTTAAAGATAGAAAACTGCAGTTGCTTAATAGCGGGAAACATGAAAACAATGCGATATAACCAGAACAATATTACCAAGCTCTTTTACTTTCCTCCTTTTTTCTTGTTCTCCTCATCAATAGGAGCTGGTTTCACGAAAGGAATGAACTCTTTGTACTTTGGTGGCATGAACTCTCGAAGCACCTGATATATATTGTTAAGCTTAGGATAATAATATTAACACTTACAGTTGGGACTTCAATTCCAGATTCGGTTTGATAGTTCTCAAGGATAGCACAAATAACTCTAGTAGTAGCGCACATGGTAGCATTCAGCATGTGAACGAAGGAAACCTAAATTACACCTGAGCAACTATTCAGACCGAAGACTAACTTCTCCATCTAGCTTCTTAGTCATACCATATCTGACTTTCAATCTTCTTGCTTGATAGTCCAGGCAATTGGAGCAGGAAACAAGCTCACGGAAAGCACCAGAACCAGGGAACCAAGCCTCCAAGTCAAGTCTTCAAATGAACAATAATTTCAAAAAATAGAAGAAAATTTTCACTTTTTAGCAGCAGCAAGGTTCAATTCCGCTGAGACGATTGCAACAACGTGGTAAGGGATTCCCAGAGCTTTGTAGTATTCTTCGGCGTTGTTGATCATCTGTGAATGGTATTACAAAAATTAAAAAATTAAAAATAAAAACCTCGTCGAAGGTTAACCATGAAGCATTGTCATTTGGAGAAGTAATAGCAAATTGCTCAATCTTTTCAAACTGATGAACTCTATAAGAAGCCGGCGTGAAGAGGTATCCATCACTCTCACCTGAAAATTCCTCTAGTATCTCTTCCATGACTTCCTACTTCTTGTCTGAAGCAAGTTGAGACTCCAGCATATTTGATTGGGAGAGTGTCTTCCTGTAAACAAAATGTAGGAAATTTTTAAGCACTGCCATTTACCTTGATCCATTCATCTCTATGATATGCAGCAATGGGCTGTTCAGAAGTTGCAATCAGATACTTCTCATCAACTGTTTTGTCGTCCGCAAGCTCAGAACCTTTACTGCTCACCTAAATATAAATCTGTTCAATGTTCGGTAACGAATTGTGAAACCTTGTAGAGTTCATCGTCAAATTGACTCAGTTGGGCTACTTCCTGCATAACTTCTTTGCGCATGAAGAATGGAGTGTATAGAGGAGTGAAGTCTTTCGCAGAAAGTCTTAAGACACGTTCAATTTATAACGTTAATATCATTTCGACTTACAATCTCAGAGCAAGTTGAATGAGAGCTTGCTCCAAGAATACCAATGGTCCTTTTAAGAAATAGCCACGGCCTCCAGCGACTACAGTTCCACGTTCTCCATCGAAACCATCAACCATCACAACTAAGTCAACCTAAACTTCGGTGGTTGCCTTTAGAATATGAAAATTCATCCAACATGAGAATACTTCTTCCTGCCTTGGATGTCTCCAAATGTACGTTCAACTCTATTGTTTGCCTCGTCATCAGAAACAGGGACGGAATCATGAAGTAAGTTTCCAATTAAAGTTAGTTTACTATAACGTTCAGCTTCGCATTTCTCCATATCAACCTCGAACAAAATAGTGAGAAATAATCATTTTGACTTCTTTACCTTGATTTCCTCAATTTTTTGATCAACTAGTGATTTCAATTTCTTGATTTGAACAACGTTCAAAGCCTTAAAGCACTCCGTGAAAGAAACGAATAATTGAAAAACTAACCGAAAGTTCATCAATCTTGAGACTATCAAGCTTATCAACGATGTCAGCAGAAACCTCATCCTTGTCTCCTTGTGGTTCTTTTTTCTAAACGCAGCTTGACTATTTGTGTTATTATAAGTACAACCTTCATTTTTTCCCCAATAGCCTTACTGAATACATTCTTCTGGCGATTGAACTGATCGGCAGAAAATCTTACTATAAAATCAACCTCAGCAGTTATAATTTAAATCAAACGCACGCTTTCTCCAGTTCTCATCCAGCTCAATAACTTTATCGACAAGAGCGACATCTTTGAAGCGCTTGCGTTGAGAATCACGGATCAGATCAGGATTTCCACCTCAAAAAAAAATTTATTTCGATTACAATGCAAATTTATACCCTTCTCAGTGCGGAATAAGTCGATGTCAAGAACCATCCTTGTTTCACCAAGTGAGTAATGAACCTAGAATTATAGATTTCACGTTTCATGCTCTCCAATTGTTTTCAATATTAAAAAAGAAAATATGAAAGTATGAAAATATGAAAGATAAATTTTTGATACTTTTTCAGTGAACGCTGTAGTTGTTGATTAGCAATGATTTCCAACACGTCCTAAAAAGCTACGATTGCAACTGTGGCACTTATACGTAGGCAGTGTAGACAAATTTTTTAACACACGAGGAAACGCAAAATAGTTTAGAAGAAAGTTCGACAGTCTTTGAAATATGGGATTTAAGATATCATTTCGATAGACTCCATGTAATGATAAAGTATTGGTGTTACACGTTGGTATTACATAATTGTTTACGTAAAAATTATGTAAGAAGTTCATTACTGAAGGGTTACAGTAAGATATGGAATTATGAATACAGGGCCCTTTTTTCATTTTTTTTTGGCATTTCACAAGTATGGAAGACGCAGTTAGATGAGCATGCTGCATTATGATCCATAGCGTACATTTTTGGTTGTAGCTTAAGTTTCGATAGAATGTAAACGCACAAACTTCAATTACACAGAGCTAATAATCTGTTTTCAGTCAGAAAGAAGTCCCAGTTGTTCAATAACTTTGAAACTCAAAATTACTCGCCCGAGTTTTTCTTCAGTTTATGTTCAAAATACTATTTTACAGGGTTACAAGGTTAGTTTTTATATTAAGCAAGTTTCAATTGTTTATTCAGCATGAAGTTCTAGAAGAATGGTTCGACGCAGCATCTGAACGGTGCCGAATCTAGATGCGGCTTCTTCTAGGAAATCACTAGACTTTTCCTGACATGGCTTGTTATACAATGAAGATCAAATTTGTTCGAGCAGAGTGTTCTGAGATATGATTAGTATGCTGATGCTGTAGTTTCCACTGAACGTTTCCCGTAAATGATATATTGATACAGAACGGTTGCATTGTGTTATCAACACTTCTTTGAGCCTGCATGCCGATCTCATTCTTGTTCTAATTATATTGCCATTTAACACATTGGAGACACAATAGTAGTTTGTGCATCCTTGGGAGTAAAAATTACAGTAATAGATGTGGGCTGCTGTCTGAATATGTTGAACCTTTTTTGATGTAAAAGTAATGATGTTTACGTTGCTGGCATGACAGATGCACCAGGATATATTGACGGATCTAATCTATGTAGACCTCCAGGTATCACAGTTTTGTTTGTATCAATAGGAACTGCCCCTGGAAACAGAAGTGGATCCAGCTTGCTTAAATCACCAGCAACAACCATCTGAAAAACAGAAATTTTTGTACAAACATTTAAACATTTGCTTACATTATTCTCGTCATTGTTTACTGTTTGAGATGGCGCGAATTCAGCTGGTTGTTTAGAGATAATAACCTTATTTATATCTATAAATAAGACTCTTTTCTAATAGTCATTTTTCAGGAAATACCTGAGGATTTTGCAGGCTTTATCTGGATATTATTTCTATTTTTGTATTTCAAAAAGAAAAACAAGCTCTTTCGATATGATGGCATGATGACGAGGATGGCAATGAATAGAAATAATGGCTGCAAACTGAATGCTAAGATTCTATTCCGAATAGCATCAACGTATTTCCCAGGATTATGCGTGTAAGACTTGAACATTTCGAAAAATAAATCATTCAGCGTAAGAACTGAAAAGATATAATTCATATTCCAATTCTAATATTCTATATATGCCAGATTGAAAATTTTTCGAAGCAGTAATTAAAATTTCATCAGCACACCTCATCAAAAATGTATGATCTTGGTTCTTTTTTTTTAACTTTTAGCAAACTTACGTGTACTGTAAGAGTGTGGGATTATAGCAATAATCACAAAAGGATACATCCATAATAGATCACTTCTGGCTTCTGCTGTCCCCTTTCTTGAATACGCCAAGAGCGAGACAGGAGTCTGGAAAGGTATGGATTTGCAAGTCTCTCACAATGTTGTAACATACGACGATAATGAATAAGAAAATATTCAGAATGTTGAATACCCATAAAATCAAGAAAAATAGAAAAAATGGGAACTGTTGTAACGTTTTGTTAAGATTAAAATACAGAAGCGATGTGAAGGTTGATATACAGAGTACCAACAGAAGAGGTTTCCTGAAATATTCGTTTGAGTATGCGCACGATGCATCTTCGACTACCAAGAAATCATCCCTTCCTTCTTGATTAACTTAACATTAAGAATTAGAATATATAGGAAAAGACATCCGATGAAGTTCAAGTTGGAAACGAGGTATAACGTAAGCTCAATTGTAGTCAACACATACAATCTGAAGAAGAGAAAAACTTTTTTGTCTTCACATGATTTGTTTTTTAGTTTATTGTATTTTCTTCAATTGATTTAATATTCTTTTAATTTATAGATAAAACTTACGAAAAAGCGTTTGGCCATGGTTCCACATGAAGATATACATTCTTAATATATCTCGGAAAGATATTGATGGCTATTGGGATAGTGAGGATCAGAACGAAGCGGCAACTACTGTTATCGGGAGGTAGCTTTTTGGAAATCATATAAATATAAAAAAGAAGAACTGTTGTAATCAAAAGTAAGATTGTGTTCCATATGCCACCTGAAGAAGTAAGGAGAAAGGTTTAAAAGTTTCAACAAAGCAAACCTCCTTCGAAGATATGAGTTCGAGGTTGTATAAGATCAAACTCAGTCCAATCCTGATAAGGCAGTAAATCCATAGCCGCTATACCCCAGGCTGTATCTAATGAGAAGTTAGTTTGATATGCATTGGAGTTATTCATTATGTTTCATGCAGCCAAACAGTAAATAGATGGATAAGGGTAATTAATAGGATAATTATAGAGGTTAAGGTACTGACAGGGATATGATAAAAATGATTTTCATATAATTGGCCTGACAAGCAGCTGTTGCTTGGCTACATTGAATCAGAATTAAAATTCAGCTGTCGCTGACGGAAAAGAAATCGTAGCTATTCTTTGAAATTAAAAGCCAGAAAGACAAAAGATGGATGAAAAAAAATAGTTTCAAAACATGGTCGATTTCGTATTTTAAAGAGAAGGTAAATGATAACTCGTTGCAAGAGAGGTTTGTGCAAAGAACATCTGTAAAGTTGAATTGACAAACATTCTGTTGCTCATTTCCAAAAGAGAAAGAGGAAAAGGTTTTTTTTTGAGAGTAGAATGAACAACAAAACCTGCAAGAGAATAAATCTCTCAGACTCCTGCTGTTGGCTCAAAGTGATTTGTTGAAATATATTTTTCTTCCTAAACCAGTAATTAAAATTTCGAAATTCTACTACTTGGATAGCTATTAGTACTAAACATAACGTGAGTGTGCAGCAGATAAATCATATACCTTTGGACATTTTTGATTTTTAAAAAAGGACTTTATGTTGAGACAGGAATGTAATGAGTAAACAAGTATGAGTTGTTCACAAATTATACGAAACATTTTCGAAAATCTCTTTCGAGAGCGATCGCTTAAGAAAAATAATTTAATTCTGAATAATATGTATCTTTCTACATTCTAATCTCATGCTATGTTCATGGAATCGCTATCCTTCTTGATTAGTTTTGTTAATGTAGGCGTATAGAAAGCATAATTCAGTACAATTCATCTGATGCGATATCTCCTCTGTTCATAAAACAACGTTTTTGAAATGAATTTATTATTAATAATTAAGTTCTTAACGTATAGTTATGTATGTTTACGGGAACCATCCCATAGGAGGAGGTGGTGGAGGACCAAAGCCCCAAGGTCTCCAATGATGATGACGATGATGATGATGATGATGATGATGATCCCATCCCATTTGGTCCCAGTCTCTCGAGCCAAAGCCATTCATTCCTTCTTGTGGACCTTCTATTAAGAAAAAAACATGAAGTAAAACACAACTCGGATACCAAATTCGTTGTTCCATCCGAAACCCGTGTCATCTTGATTCCGAGTTGAGGGAAAGTTGTTATTTGAATTGAAGCCTGAATAGAATACAAACGTATTAGGAAACATAAATATGTCTTGCCTGCTTCCCCTGTAGGTGGTGAAGGCCAGCTACCTGAAATACCAACTAATAGTTGCTTACTGGAACCCAATCATACCCTGATTCGTACGAGGACTTTGCCTCACATTCGAGGGGTTTGGAGGAGGTTGCTGATTCATTGAGGGAATTGGACTGACTACATTACTAGGAGGTGGCTAAAAGTTTTTCTGTTTTCTGATGAGTTTATAGCTTGAACTCTATAAGTTTCAAGAGTGAGCATAGAACTTACTGGAGCATCTTGAATGTTGATTGCAGGTGGACCTGAAAAAATAACGGTAATGTGACTAATCAGTAGAGCAGAATATTTCAAGTTGGTCGATGGCGAGTCCAAAAAAAAAATGGTCCTTTGTTGAGTTTATCATGATTATCTTATTCTATGTAAGCATATTGTAATGACTAACCTTTAGCTAAGCATAACTGAAGAATTGAATAGAGAGCCAAGACAAACGTAAGCCAACGGAAATTGGCTTGCATTCCCATCTAACAGTCTGACGACTGCTGGTTTCCAGTCCGATTTCTCATTATGATGTGTAAAAGGTGACCTGTCTTTGCATCACACGTCATGCATCATCGAATTCATTGTTCTAGAATGATAAGCAATTTAAATACAAAAACAATCATCAAAACTTCATAAAACAACCTCTCAAAAAAAACGGGAAAGCTTTCAAATTAACAAGAAACGAGACAATGTTGTATCATCAATACTATTGGTTAGTACAAGCCTTAAACTTTATACATTGAAAGAACTTTAGCAAAATAATCAGTTGGTTTCCAGTTTGGCCGAGAGCTAGTCAGAAACTTCTTCGCTTCTATTAGAGTATGCTTAGTCTGTAAGGTGTACTGCTTACATTCGTACTTAGTTAGAATATTGTATATTATTCTGAACAACTCTGGAAAATCGAAGTCAGGCAGCTATTTCTGAGAACTGGAACTACTTACCTTCCGCTATGAGATCCAGTTTACACTTTTCTATCAGAAACTTTTCAGCTCTTGAAACAATTAGTCTTAACTCCTGAGAAATCGTTCGTACAGGATTCTCAATCGATTTGCTTCTGGATAGCTGGAGAATCCTATAAAATGTTCAAAGATTAAGGACAAAATAAAAACGCCACTTTTTTTTGTAGTTTTCCGTGTTTCTATGCTTTCTCAAAACTTCTTTTGCTTCAACCTCTCCCTTACATTTTCTGAATAAAAAAAACAGGAGCACTGCCATGTCAATTCGGCTAATTGCATTACGAGTTGGCCTTACTGGACTCTATAAAAAGACCTGAATTCACAACAAATTGTAAAAAAGAGAAATTCCTCAAATGGGTAGAGTTATGAAAAACTCAGATGAGAACCCTAATCACTGACTTTCACTTTCACTTTTTTCTGCTGTTGATGGCGTTGAACCATGTTGTTCAGTTCTTCATCTATAGACTGCAGAAAAAAATTCTCTTATAACATGAGGTACTAGGGAAATAACCTTGTTCGATAACTCGTTGATTAAGCTCGTAGAGAAATCCGAGTCTTCCCCATCGTCTGCGGCATCAGCGTCTGAAGAAAACCAAGCAGTTGCAACCATACCAGCCATTTACTTGATTTCAGGTGACTCCCAACTTCTCCATCTTTTACATTTTTCACATTACTCCACATATTTTCCAAACTTTTTGTCGACGAAGTTAGTATCTATTCAACTTATTGATCATTTCCAAACTTCGTTTCTACCTTCGACATCTCTCTCATTTCATTCATAGATCGCAAAGCTTCTTGCGCTGTGAGTATAGGCTTACTTTTATACATCTACAACTAATAAATGAAATGATGTACTGGAGTTGCAAGCATTAGATAATAGACCAAAACGAAAGCAAATCATGTTATTAAAGAAACTGGTGAAAAAACAAAATATTTATTAATCTATTTATCGACTTAACAATTCTACCAATTTCTCTGTGTTGGTGACTCTATTTTGTATCCTCCTAGATCAAAAATGGCGCGACCAGCGTTCAATAAAGAAGGGTTGAACCGAACAAGACCAAAATAATCTGACATTGCCTCAAGTTCAAACCAATTAGATCTCGATAATCTGCAAAAATAACAGGTAACAATCAATGAAGAAAACCTTGAACCTTGTACAAATGGTTGTTGCCCAAGCTAGTTCAATGTCAGCATTGCGAAGCCCAATAGCATAAGATCTTGAAGCTCGGGAAATCACAGCTACCATTACCATTTGATTCTAATAAAAATAATTGGTGGAACTTTTCACAATAAAAGAAACCTTCAGAACATTGACCATCCCTTCTAGACTTCCGTAATCTTGTTCTAAATTTTTCCCTTGTTCAGACACCATTTTCGAGATCACTGTGTTCAGACGAGACATAGAGAACTCCAGCTCCTGACAGGCCAACTGAAAACGTTAATTGGTTAACTTTCTTGCAGCAGAAGTTACCTGTAGAGAAGGATGAGCGTGTTCTGCTATATAATGAGATAATTTAGGGTTTTTCAAATCGGCGTTAGTTTTCTCATTACTCAATAATCGTCTCAAAGTGCTTGTAATGCTAAAAAATCAACATTTAAAGAAATTAAAGTAATTAAGAAACCGTTTATGGCTTGTGGTTGTCCAAGTGGACAAAGTTGCAATTGCAGTCGATTCTACGATATCCCCCTCACCATTCTATAATATCGTATTAATGCACAAATCAAAACATTCACTCACTAATGATAGTATTGTCGAAATATCTCTGATGTCTTTCTCAAACTGTTCTTTAGTACTAGATGCTCTGATCCCTCCAAGCTCTATTGTTGCTAACACACAATTTCTCAACACATCTCGGGTTAGTTTCTAAAAATAAACAATGAACGTATGGATCATATACAAAATATACGAAAATGAGAGCGTTTTCCACATCTGCAACCATTGGAATTCCTTCATCAAGTAGTCCTACGAGATAAAACAAGGATGATTCCAACGAATACAAGTTCAATGCCAAAGTGGTCGCGACGTATTGAGCTCCTGAGTCAGAGGCAACAAAACTATTATCCTTAATGATAGATTTTCTTATATTTTCTTTCCTAGACTAACATCTCTACTACTTGGTGTCCGATTAGCAATAACAGAAAGCTTTGTTAGTAATCTCCGGGCATGCCCGATGGTTGCAGCGGCGAGAGGGAAACGACCACTACAAGTCAACTCTTTTATTATCTGAACAGAAGCAATTCATAATTATAAATATCCAGCGGACTACCTCAAGTCCCTGATCTCCATCTCCTAAGACTAACGAACTGTCTATGGTCGATTCTAGACTCACCATAGCTACTTAAAATGATTCGATGATATAACTATGAACAAGTTTCGGCTAACCATTAGTTCCTTTCAACCCTGTGCTATCCTCTCTTTTGAAACTGAGCTTTCCAGTGGAGGATATATTGTTAGTATCTACTAGGATACAACTTATACCATTCGATTTCTTGAAACAACGCGTTTTTGAACTTCTTTTCTATGTATACTACCGTTAAATGATTCTTGTTTTTGGCAAAAACGAAGAGTAAATTGGCATTTTCTGACGCTAACATAGGCACATCCTTGACGGACAATAACATTGAAGATCCCGTACTACTAACACATTCTCCCAGCATTTCCTGGTTTCTAGAACATCCTAATGTATGTAGATAAGTTCGAAAAAAACATCAATACCCCTTCAAGTTCGCCAGAGTTATTGCTGGTCTACATTTACCGTTGGCTATAAGAGGTAAATATTTTGTTTTCTGTTCTTCATTGCCGTACAGAATCAGTAATTGAGAAGCAATATACACAGTGCTGACATTAGCAAATATATTCCAATCTATGCTGAGTTCCTGTGAAAAAAAAGGAATAAGCTGCAGCTGAATTTTGCTATTTTTTTTCAGTTCTATGGAACAATATCTACAAACAAATGTAATTACATGAATTTGAATTGAGCACAACCGCATAGACAACCGCTGAATATAAAAATGAAACCACGTCACATGTTCAAAACGGAATATGCTAATTACTTATATGCCCATTGTTTTACTAATTTTCAATGTTCTTCTAGTCAGCAGTATTTTCAAGCTAAAAGTCAAACCTGAAAAATATGAGCTAAATCTTTGCGACACATCCCAAGTCCTTCATAATCAGAAGGAACGAACGTCGAACAAATTTGATTTTTTTCCAAAGCATATTTGATGTCATCTGTTAAACATCCAGCCTTCTCAACATCCCCAGCTTTAGCTAAAATCACTCTTCCCAAAAAACATAAAATATTACAGGCTTACTTGCAACTTCTAACGTTTGCCTTAAAACGTCAGTAAATCCTTCTATATTCTTCAAATCATCTGTATCATTGTATTCGGGATATATTAGAAAATCCTGAAAACAGTTCCCTCTATGGTTGAGTTATAGAATATCAAAACTTTTTCGAATTTATTCATTGATAATCCTCTAGATAACGAAACTTTTTCAACTGCAACGCCTGCGGGAAAAACTTCTTGAATTTGTAATTTTGCAGGTAACTCTTGCTGACTGAGCTTAGGTTCTGAACTTCTGACCGACGAAGTAGAAAAAGACTTTTGTATTCCATTCGATCTCAAAAAATTTCGCGGTTGAATACGAGAAATCATTCTAAAGTAATGCATGAAACCTTTTCAGAATGAACAGATAAACATTGTTCAAGACTTTTATTTTCAAATTCAAATGAAGTAAGGTCGTACCTTTGACAGAAGACAGCAACTAAATTAAGAGACGCAGGTCGCTCTAACGCTAATACTCTAGCTGTCTATCTATCTGCTGTCTGCGCCTCCACCTTGACAGAGCTCTTTAACACGTGTGAATTGCTCTATCTCCATCCTCTCCAAATGATATCTACTCTCTAAAACTCTCCATAATTACGTGAAAAGGAGTTTTAAGTCGTCGAAAAAAGATAATAAGCTTAACAAGCTTCATGATATTTCGGTTTAATCTGTTTTTTCTCTTTTTTTAAATTGTTTTTTGGGTGGTCTTTGCTGTTCTCTCTTCAATAGGAATTACTCTCATTTGATGTTTCTATTCATTATAATTAACTGTTTTTATTACAGGAGATATCCAGGGGAATTCTTCATTGTTCTGTCAAAGATTATTGTCATGATGTATAGCTAGCCTGTAAGTTTCTTTTCTCCAATGCGAAGATTATTTTTCATCTTCTTGTTTATCTATTTATGCTTGAGTCATGTTTTGCTATGATTATGGTTACCGAAGATTTTTCCGATGGTGACATTCAGTTTCTTACTTTTACGCTTTGAAACGGAACGTTCTCGCTTTCTATATGTTGTTATAGTTTGTCGTGATTCCTTATCATTAGTTTCTGAAGACTATGTTGAGTACAGAAACATCGTATTAGCACCCCTTCTATAATCAGTGAAGTGGGCGTAATCTTTTAGTATCTGGTTGAAAGCGGATTTTATTCTTTCTTACCCTATCTCTTTCTTCTTCCCATCTTCTTTTGTATGTATGGTAAAGCATGATAATGTGGGATCGTTATTTTTTAATTTTATAAAAGAAACGTCAGGATTGATTACAGGTAATTTTCTCCTAATATTCTCCAACGGATTTTATCTTCTGTTCCATCTTAATTTGTGACAAGGCGTACAAATTGAAAGCATTGTTGGACAAGATCAGTCTAACCTGAACTTCCAAGATGTTGTCTTCATCAGGTCTTCTACAATTCTCAATACTACTTCTTTTGCATTTTCACTTTCAATGACGCTGTGGTCTCTTTAGTAGACGAACTAATTTCTTATAATGTAACGTCTTGTATTGACCAGTTTTTTAGTACTTGGATCTTTACGAATTTCGCCAAAAACTTTAGTTAAACTAAAAAATAAACCTTCCTGAACATAGAAGTTACCGCAGTTTCTTAATGTAGATTGCAAACATGATTCATTTAAAATTACTTGGTAGATTTGATAACATCCATACTTTTTCAGACGCAGGCATAACATAGTCCACATCTGCTCAGTAGATTAGATATAATGGAGTTATGGAAACAATCTATTTCAATTCTTGAAGAAAATGTTGAAGAAAAGGTTCGTTATTCAATATATTTGTAACTTTTGATGTTGAACCTGTTGGTTGAAACTAGCTTATTCTTTCAATTATTTCATCTCTACGATTCCGCAGTTGATTCAATTTATGTATCAACAACGTAATGAGCAATGTTTTTTTCCATAACCTCGAATCATGATTTGAATCTTTTAGAGTCAGGCTGTGGAAGAATTGCTCCAGAGTTCATCGGGTGATCATACCTGGATCCAAGTACAGGTAGGTTTTATTTAACGTTTCCTTGAATTTCGTTCTTTTCAGTATACCCCTGCTCAACTTTTAAAAAGACCAAGGTTTTGTAATGTTTGTAGAGAGAAACTATCAGGGTTTCCACAGCATGGCTGGGGATGCGATGGTTTGTACTCTATCATAGAACTCTTTGGTACTAATATCCTTTTCAAGTCTGCAAAGTCAAAACTCACAAGAAATGTATGAAGTTAGTTAAAGATAAATGTAAATGGTCAGTAGAAGGTTCTATTCCTCACCATTTGCAATATATTAGTCCAGAGGTTATGAAATGGTTTTTAAAAAAATAATATTAGTTTTATAGAATTCTATTATGCCTCATCAATGGGTAGAGGGCAATCTATCCCCATCAGCTCGATGTGCAGTTTGCGAGAAGTACTGTGGTTCTGCAACAAAGCTACAGGTGATAAACTATTCATTTCTCATATTTTCACTGACGTGATTCCCACGTGAGAAAGGGAAGTGTTTCACGTATACTTCATTCCATTCAAAATAGAAATAGCATGCGGTTGCAAAATATGAAAGTATATATTGTTCGCTTTGAATTCAGAATTTTTCAGGACTGGAGATGCATCTGGTGTGCTCAAGCTGTCCACGATGGTTGTTTGGGTCAACTTGGTCGTGGTTGCAATTTAGGAGCTATATCTCTCTCTGCCGTCCCACCCTTGTCCTTGCGAGAAGTGTCACCCTGTGGAGAATTCAAATTCAGAGCAGATGCTATTGGTATATAAACATAAAAGATATGAAGACCTTGGATGATTGTTTTAGGTGGAGATTTCGGAGGAGGGAGTCCTCTTTTAGTGTTGGTGAATTCAAAATCGGGTGATAATCAAGGACAACGTATGATACGGAAGTTCAAACGTCTTTTGAACCCTGTACAAGTTTTTGATATCATTGCGACGGGTCCTGAATTTTCGTGAGTTTGCTTGTTATTATCTTCCATTAATTGTCGTGGAATTACAGTTTGACTTTGTTCTCATCATTGGATAGTTTCCGGGTTTTAGTTTGCGGTGGTGACGGCACCGTTGGCTGGGTGTTGAGTACTTTCGATCGCTTGGACTTGCACAGGAAGGTGAGTCTTAATTATAGTATTTGATGAATGTCTCTGTATTTAGTGTCAATTGGCTGTTCTTCCTTTGGGAACAGGAAATGATTTAGCACGAGTTTTAGGATGGGGTCATGCTTTCTATAATGTGCATGAACTTCCTTCTCTTCTTCAAGATTTTGAAAGAGCGCCAACTCGTATGCTGGACAGGTACTCAGGTTAAAGTGAAGTGATAGCAAAAAAATGTTTAAGGTGGAGTGTGCTTGGTATTGAGGGACCGCCTGCGGATATAATAAAGCATTATGAACATACTGTGACCAGCAAGGTCAGAATAGTGATGGAGGCAGAAGAACCGCATGAAATTATTAAAGCCGTCAAGTAAGATATCAGTGTAATTATTTGTTTTTCATTGTGATGCACTATAGATCACTATGTATAACAGTCAGAGAGTTGATGGAAGGTGTGGCTGCTACGTATTCACAAGTTGAACAATGGGAAAGAGAAGATGGCACCCCTACAAGTGATGCAGTCACTGATAAGTAAATGAATAGGAACTTTTTTTTTACTACTCGCTACTTTTGTTCAGATGTGTTGTTCTTCTAGCGAAGTTGGACAATTTGATGAAAAGTCTCGAAAAGGATGATTCTTCTCTTCAAGAAGAAAGCGGTTTAGAACCAGAAGATGACGAAAGTACATTTGAATCATATTTTCGTGAAATTTCATTCATTCATAGATTGGAAGGTGGAAGAGAAGAGGAGGCGGGATTCTCTTGTTGGTCGAGCTAATAGCCTTAAAAAAGCGTTGAAAGATATTATGACTGTAGCGGAGAGGGGAATAGATCAGCACTATCGGGACAGGTTACTCGGAATCTTCTTTCAATAAAAACTACTGTTTTTTTAGTGCCGCGGCATCAAAACGAGCCAAGTTTCGAACAAAACGTAGTAAAACTACTCCTTCTGTTCTGAAAATATCCTCCTCCAACTTGTCTCTATCTTCAGTTTGTAGTCCTCCTGCTTCACCGTCTCCCAATGTTGATAAATTGGCGGTTGCAGATGGATGGATGACAGACTTGAGTCAAACTAGTGGTTACGGTTTGTTTCATTTGAAGCGTAATCACTATATTGTTTTTAGGAATTTCTCCATCACATTCTTCGAACCCTGGCTTATCTATAGTTGGATCTACTGGTTTAAGAGAACCATCTTCGAATAGTAGTGTTCCTGACAATGACTCTGTGGATCGTGACGCTCTGAATAGTCCATGGTTAGTTGTTATGTGTTCTACTTCACCAATTATTTTAGTATCGGACATGTGCAACCTCCTACTCCTGGAGGCACTCGAGAGCAGTCTGCGGTCGGAGAGCCTGATCGGCCGAACCCTGATGATCGCCTTTTTAAACCTCATTCTGAATGTCAGTTATATTCTGGGAACCCCTCGGATATAAAGCTCAGCCATTCCGATAGCAGTATATACGGTGCGAATATTTTGTAGAAATTTTAAACTTCTTGTTTTCAGAGCATGCGGAAAAATCCTCCAAAATGAGAAGCAGCAATTGGAGTAGAATGATTAAGGATAAGAAAAGAACAAGCGCAGTGGAGCAGTCTAATAAAAAGTGGGCATCCCAAAATGAATTGGCAGTATCCCTGAATTTTATAGAGCTATGTTACCTTATGCTTTTACCGGTGGATCCCTTATTGCTGAAGTACTACTTCTGAATGCTCGCGTTTTAGGGATGGCTGCAGGTACACGCGATTTTCAAACGCCGCTGTAAGTCAACTTTCGAGCTGCTTTGATATTAAGCTTTTGGTTAAGAGACAAATACAAAGAGCTCAAAACTATGAATAATTATTTTGGAATCGGGTTAGATGCAAAAATTGCTCTTGACTTTCATAACAAGAGAGAAGGTTCTGATAAGGTGATCGCCTTCTATTATTTTCCTTTTTGGACTTCATAGAATTTAGACAAGGAGTCGTTCGAAATTGTTTCTCTGGTATGGCATGTTAGGAGGCAGGGAATTGATGCACAGAACGTATCGAAATTTGGATCAAAGAATAAGATTAGAATGCGATGGTCAACCGATAGATCTACCATCATTGCAAGGAATTGTTATCTTGAACATCCCATCGTATTCTGGCGGAGCCAACTTTTGGGGAACATCAAAAGAAGATGGGTTTGTTGCTCAAAGTTTTGACGACAGGCTATTGGAGGTAACATTTATAAGGAGATATAATCATGTCATTTGTCTTATAGGTTGTTGCCCTATTTGGAGTGATTCATGTAGCTACAAGCCGAGTACCAAACGTTGTGAGACTTCAGAACCACCGAATTGCTCAGTGTCGTCATGTTCGTATTGTTATTCTGGGTAATGAACCGATTCCAGTACAGGTAATCTTTAATTGAAAGACACAATATATTTTTGAAGCCGTTATCAATCCGTAAAAAAGAGATATGTTGATCTTTACTTCAGGTGGATGGTGAGCCATGGATGCAACCTCCGGGAATACTTCAAATTGTCCACAAGAACCGTGCTCAGCTTCTAGTTAGAAACCCTGTAATATTAAAGTTTTCACTGGTTCTGTTATACAAATTGGATTTAGGAGTTTGATGCTACTTTGAAGAAATGGGAAGAACAAAAAGAAAGATCAACTGCACCTTCAACGCCTACTGCAATTGGTGCTGAAGATGTTCCCTTTTCTCGAAGAGCAGCGGAGTTTCTTCGTCTAGTAGAAAGTGAAATAGCCACACTGGGAGTGAGCTCTGAGTTTTTGGAGGCCCTAGAAACTGCAACAGCAGCTGTGAGAACTGCAGACGAAACAGTTAGTTTATTCTTACTCAGTTAGGTATTTCCATATCACCACCGGTATTTGTGTCAAAAGACTGTGTGATTATTGAAATAGTGCTGTTGATTGAGTTACGGCGTTTCTCTTCTTTTCTCTTCCATAGCAATCGTGCTAATCGGCCTGAAAAACTTGAGTTGAAATCAAAAAGTAAGATTATGTCCCATACATAAGTAAATGATGAGATAAAAGGAGTAAGCTGCATAAATCCAAACTACTATGAGAACTTGAATAGCTGTGGTAGGATTTGCCCAAGATTTGATGTATCCCTGAATTTGATGCTTTTCAAGTATTGAATTATTATCTAATGAGCAAGATTTGGGAGCGCGTTAAGTAATTCAAATTATGCATGTATGACAAGTGTTCCTTGTCAGGATGATACGAAACTACAACTGCGAAAAAATAGCTTTATATTTGCTTGTGTTTAAAATTCAGTTGTGATATTGTCCCTACGGTAATATTATAATTTTAGTCCCCTACCTCTAGCATTATGAATGTGAAAACCACTAGTACAGGTACGATTGTTACTTCCTGAAGCATCTTCCAAACTAAGTATACTGTTATCGGGGAAGCCGCATTAGTTCCTCTCAAGCGTGTGAGTAACCTCGCTGCTGCTACTAGATTTATCCCTACTATTGTAGCTAGTACTACATGAATCCAATGACCTTTTTTTGCGCTAATCCACATGGCAATGTGAAAACTCAAGCTTAAAATTACTTCTAATCCAACCAACATGCGAGCAATGTTAATGGGAGCTCGTTTCAGGCGTCTTAAAGATGCAGAAATGAATAAATGCTGACGCCATATGAATATGAAAAGCATAAAGATGAAAAACAACAAACCTCGAAGTTATGTTTTGACGTTCATCTGGTAGTAATGTGAATGATTGCAAGTTGCTATCAGTTAATGGAACATGCATATTTCTCTGATAATATCAATTTGACATTTCACATAAAATGTTACATTTGTGCATAGCTCCGTGTTTTTCTCTGAAAAACATAATTTATGGAAAAGCTGTTGTTTTTCTGATATTGTATGAACGAAGTTTATTTGAACGGCAGTAATGTAATAGCCAGGTCATTAAACTTGAAATTTGATATTAAATTCTTGAAGAAAGTCGAAAACTCCATCAAGGGCGAGCATATTGTGAAAGAAAGGAAAATTAGGGACGATGCATCATGGGGCTCATTATTATTCCTCCACGAAAATTTTCTTTTGGCGAATTGCAAATTGAGTTCCCAAACTTTTCTGAAGCTAGCAAAGGTTCATATTGGAAAATGGAACCGACAAAACCAGACGTTTTGTTGGTATTCATATACCAAATGAAGCTGTCAAAATTTTTTCATCGTCGTGCTTCTTGTTTTTACGAGAGAGAATTCAATTTCAAAGAATGAATGAATAGGCCCTCCAAGTTTCACATGGAAGGTTTCAACAAACTTTCCCCCGGAGATGTTTCAATCAGCATCAAAAGCTAGACGTATAGGGTTGACATGCGATATCTGTGACTTTCTGTTGGGAACTTTCCCAGTGCGGAAAAACGCAATTGCAAAGAGCTCGCAAGAAAAATAATGATCGATTCTTGGTTCATATGATGAGTCTAATATTCATGTCTCTATTAGGCTTCATCATCGAGCTGTATTTCGAGAGTATTTTGATCGCATGGTCGTTTGTTTATGAAATAAGTAGTTTTCTTTTCTTACACCCTATTCCATAGGGTGTTCATAAATGAAAACAATGAAGCCTTGTTGATATCTGACGTCCTGAATTTGTTTCCAAGATGTCTTGTTTCGATATCTTTTTGTCTCTTGGGTTATGAAGTTAACTACAGATGCATGAACAATTCAACAAAATGAGGCATTCATCGAACACGATCTCACAAGTTCAAAGCTTTTATCTGTTTCTCTCGAACGAGTGTCATGTTTTTGAGGGTGAGAAGATGTTCTATGATGGCTATGAAATTAAAAGCGGACAATTGGAAGTAATTGAAGTTGCCATATGAAAGCTGAAGAAAATCGTTACCTTACATCATTAGTTGCATGATAATATCTTAGTCTTTTCTTAAACTCCGGTTTTGGATTAATCTCGACTCTCTGCTTGAGAATGAAGCAAGCTTGAACGAATAGTTCTTTGTTTGCCTTGTTCGGAAAATAGCAGAAAAGGCTTTTATTGAATAATTTTTATATTAGCCGGACCGAAAAACGTGACAGCAGAAGAAGTGGAGCATTGGATCTCCTTCCATGCTTTATAGTAATGCTTCAGAAAGTTGTGCTTTTTAATATATGCTAAGCCAATGTACATCAAAGTCATAACTTTAGGCGTTTCAAAGAAAAATAGAATTCACGTACAACAAAAATAAAGAAATAAGTATAAGATCGAAATTAAAGTTATTTGTTATAGACGGATAGTACGAGTAACTGTGATGGACGAGCAACAAGAGAAGATGTTTTAGCAGCCGTAGAGCAGGTAGCCGACCATTTGGAGGATCATTTCGGCTGGTCCGAACCCAGCAAAGTTCCAGCTAACCAGCCTCGTCTTGGCCCCGCCCCTCACTTTTCTTTCGAAGTCCATGTAAGTCGGCTTTCCTTCTCTACTCTCCTGCTTCCCCTTCATTTTGAACGATGTTTTCATCATATAAAACGAGGTAGTACTCTTTACTGGTGTAATAACATCTATTTCGTCGATATTGACGAATGATATGCAAAGGTCATTCGTTAAATTAAAATATTAATGATGCAATTGAAGGGGGATGAACCAGATCATTGGCGATACGTGATGAGCTGTATAAGACAAGAAATGAGCAGAGAGGAAGCAGCTCTCCGGGAAATTCGTCAGAGTGAAACATCAAGTGGGAAAAAGCGGAGTAGGTTCGCTTCGTGGCTGAGTCGGCAATGGAAAAAAAGATCCGGTGCACCAAGCACGCCAGGTATTTAAAATGCCTTTTCTTAAGTATCTCAAACGTTTAGTGTCTACGTGGTCTGTGGATGATGTATGCACTTGGCTGAATTCGCTTGGACTTTCTCAATATTCCTCTCAATTCAAGCAAAATGATGTGCGTGGACGAGAGTTGCGATTATTAGAGCGATCCGATTTCAAAGATTTAGGAGTATTCAAGATAGGACATGTCAAACGGGTCCAGGTGAGCTTACAATTTTCACTTTTCGCACAAAAGCCTAAAGAGTTTCATGTGAAAACATGACAAAAGGCTCTGACGCATCTCATAAGATTGTGAGGCTTGTTTGTGTGTGTGTGTGTATGTGTCGAACATGGATACACAAACAAGCACGGCTGAATGATTCTGTTCGATAGAAAAAAAACAAGATAAAATTATTATTGATATTATTGTTAGCTGAAAACATATATTTCATGAATAACTTACTTAAATATCTCTTATTTCAGACAGCTATAGCTGAACTGGTAGCAAAAGAGGAGGATGGAAAACGAACGGGAAGAAAGGGAACTTCTCTGTCTTCTGAACGTCCTGCTCCGGAACTACCAAGCATGAGTAGCGTGTAGAGAAACGGAAAAAACATGTAACAGTTTTACCAGAAGCAGACGACATATCAGACTTATTTTTTCTGGTTCTAACTTCTTTTCTTTTCTCATAATTGTTTTTCTGCATTTATTTATTAGAAATCTGTCATTTCGTTCTCTTCTTGCTGTTCACCTCACTCTTCGTACCCTGTCTTCCACCCTCTATCTCTCTCTCTCTTTCTCTCTTTCTCTCTTTCTCTCTTTCTCTCTCTCTCTCTCTCTCTCTCTCTCTCTCTCTCTCTCTCTCTCTCTCTCTCTCTCCCTCTCTCCCTCTCTCTCTCTCTTACTTCTTTTTTCTCTCTCCTTTCTCTATCACACCTTACTTTCTTCTTCTTGCTTGAATTTTAGTCGAAAATACAATAACTCCTGCCCGAATATCACATATCGCTCAGTTTATTTCCTTCATAATATAATTCCGTTGAATTGACTTTAGTCATGGTTTTGTAACTGATAATCAGTATTCATCTGCTCCCTCCTTCTTTTCATATCTTCTTTAGCGCGCAATTTAACCAGTCAACTTTTGAAAGCACAACTGTAGTTTTATTAGATCCATCTTTCGGCTTTTTACTTGCTGTTTCATACCCTTTCTGCCATTTATGATCTTTTTTCTCCTAATTATTCGTCAATTCTAACATATTCAATCAGCTCGGCTCATATACCAGTGTGATAAGTAGCAGTTTTTGGACGATTAACAATTGTCATTATTTCTTCGTCTCTAGTGTTCATGGATTCAAATGATATCTTAATAGTTTAATAATCAAGAGCCAGCAATAGTTTCTCTGTGTCATAATGATCAACTTTTGTAGCCTGGCTACTTCTGCCTCTTTGTTTTCTACAACCTCTCTTTAAACTGATTCTGTTGTTAAAACGGGCCAACTTTATTTTATGTAATTGAGAGTCATTGTGAAAACCCTTATATATGCTCACGAATCATTTTTTCTTTGTAAAACGATTGAAATGTTTATGCCATGCCGTCAATTAGGAATGTAACACATACCCTCGGTTTCACTGTCTTTCCCTTCTAATCTTTTTAAAACGTTTGTACTTCATTGTACCTAGTGTTACTGTGTAATTGTTACAGTTTTCTATGAACTGCAGTTAATGTAGGCAACGAGGAAAAACTATCGGGTTCGTACTATTTGACAGCTACATTTATCCTTTACTTATATCTAGCAACCTTTGATATTAATCGTGATACAGATTATATAGGCTATGTTTTCATCGCTATCCTGTTGAAGGAGTTCTCCTTTTCAAATGTATAAAGATGTCCTATATTCTTTTTTATTAGTTGTGTGTGCTCATATATTCACATGGTATTACTTGAAATATTAATTATTTTTATTGGAAAATACAACGGGATAGCACATACCCGGCATGACTCGCTTTTAACGAAAAGAATATTTCTGAAGTCTTACTGCGGTCTTTATAGGGATTGCTAGTAAACCCCATTTGGCACTGAAGCATGGTACGACAGACTCAGTGCAAGCTAAATTCTTCTCCGAAACCCATCTGACTGTATCCACGAGGTGAATACAAGCTGTCGCTTTGTCAGCTACAAATAGACGACCTGGAGAGATTGAAGATGATTTTGAAAAAAATGATTTTTAAGTCATTACCTGCATCATCTCTAGCTAAGGCTCCTGGTCTCTGGCAAATAGCAATTCTGCGCCTGTCCACGATTTGTGATTCTCTTACTGATAGTTGAAGTACGTAGTTCTTTCTACCTGCAATGATGAAAAGCATGTCAAATTCATTTTGATAATAATATAGGAAAATTTTGGTTATTTGAAATACTGTGACAAACCTTCTACAACAAGTAGTTGTGTTATTGTACCAATTGTAGCAAACGCAAGCATGTCCACATACGATTCTGATTGACGAAAATCTAACTCTGTCCATTGTCCGACAGGGCTCAACTCATAGATAGCGGAGGAAATCTTAACATTTTCATAGTTGAAATGCTTTTTTGTAACTTCAAACTTGTCCACAAGCTGATAAGTAAATATGATCGGTATGTGCTATTGAAAGTCGATCAGAAAGTACTGTCCTTCCTACTAACCATTGCGGGCCTTCAATTTTCGCAACATATTCCAAATCTGACGTAAACTTCAGTATGTAACGAAGATACTCGCCATCTATCCGAACATCTGCTAATAACTGCAAATACACCATCATCTATTAGTAGCAAACTTGCTTTTTAGTTTATAGTTTTGTTTTAGTAGCTGGTGAATGAGATTGAACTAACCAAAACATGGTCTTTGTATGAAAGAGGACTTCGCGGGTTGTGCCATTCCGAGTTCGAGACCTAATAACGCCGTAGTTTCGGATGGTTTAAATGTAATAAGTAACCTTCTTAATAACAGTTCCTTCAGCATTGAATAGCTGTATACCTTGCACTACGTCAGTAATCAGAACTAAACCACTGGGTAAGACAACACATCCCGTAACTGCTTCTAGTCCTGTTATCAAAACAGACTCTACGTTTTTCGGCAACCTGTTAGATGAAATTTTGAATTGTTAACAATAACTTTGTTTTTGGGATATGAGAGGATGAATATTAATTCTATTGAACAACATTTCTGTTTTCTGTTCGAACTCAATGCTGTTTTTTTTTCTTGAATAACTCTTCTTCAACCAGCTCAGTTCATCATGCTCGTAATTGTTTGAGCTTTCAGTTGCGTGGGAGGTGAGGGGCAAAAAGCAATGCAGTGTCAGCTGTTGCTACGCAGAGAAGCAGAGAAACATAAAAATTGAGGGAGCGTGTTTCGAATAGAAAGGCAAATCAGCACGGATTGGCATTCACAAAGAAACTAATTATTTAACTTACCCTCCAGACGGTAGTTGGGAAACACTCGGAACTTGAACGTGGTCCTCAATTGTTTTATGGGGTGGTAACGATTGTTCGCTTTTCATTTCAACTTTTTGCTCATTCAAACTATAAAAAGTATTTGATTTCAACGGTAGACATACGGAAGCATACGCTTGAGCCATTTCTTTATTCTGTTCTACTAGTTTTGAAGATTTAGTACCAATTTCATCTAGGAGCTTCAGAGCGTCTATCGTCGTTTCATTAAGCTTGCGCTCATACTCATCTAAAAATGAACCAAATGAAGTAAAAAGCATTAATATATAAGAAAATGAGTACACTCACTTATATCAAACGTTGGCGATTGAACCTCATTAACGGGAGTTATGTTATTCTTAAAATTGAAATTTAATAGTCTAGTAAAACAAGACAAACCGTTCCATGTTCTATTGTTGGTTGTTGTGGCGGAATGATAGTTATGCTTGGCATTTTGATAGTGTTCTGTTCATCTGAAAAAGATAGTATTTTTCTTTGCTTATGTTGTTATGATAAACCATTTCCAGAAGCATTTTTAAGGACGGATGGGATGGAATCAACATCAGAAGGAGATTGAGAAGGTCTCTCCGATTCTTTACTCAGATGAGAAGGCGTCTAGAAGCTCAGGTTGAATAAGCAATTTGTAGTTAACACATCTCAGTATTCAAGTAACCTACTTGGCTTGAAGATTCCTCTCTTATCCATGCTATGTCTTCGTCGTCCTCCATGAGTAGTAGTATACACTATGTATCTTCCCAACTGCTCTTCGGACCGGGATTTTTCCCTGATCCGCCTTTCTTTAATCTCCCTTTCAGCTCAACGTAACCACTCCTGTCTAGGCGTCTCATCATTGTCATTATATCTCCTCTTCTTTAAAATCAAGAGTTATATCTTCTCTCCTACACCAGAAAACATGTGGTTGTATTTTCTTTCGCTTTGAATGAACTTGAAAAGTAGGATCGTTTATTTGAACCATTTTTCCCAGAGATCCATATTGCTCTACTCCAATGAGATACGTAATTTAAAACTAAGGTTACTCACGGTTTTCTATAATTGTATACCTTAATTATAAAACCTTCGATGATTATTAATAAATGACGAGTCTGATTATCAACTTGACGATAACGAGGCGTGTGTCTGATGTTGGTTGATCTTGATTATGAACGGCTTCTTGTCCTGTACGGCGTGAACTATACGGCTTGCTTTGAGCTTTTATTGTGACATTTTTTCCTCTGAAATTGAATTTTACTATTTGAAATGCTTTCCTATAGTTTCGTTTCCGTCTTTTGGAGTTTGAATGAGCTCTGTGAAGGTTCAATCGTTATTTGTGTTTCTTTTTCTTACTTTTCATGCTATAATGTATCTGTGTGAGACACTGTCCACTTCATTTAGCGCTTGTTAAATGAATGTTCCAGCTTTACCTGCTCAACTAAAACTTCTCAATACCAATAGTTTGCGTGAAAAATGTATTTTTATTAAGACGCTACATCATCCAACTTCTAATAGAAGTTGAGTCGAATGTTTACAATAAGTCAATTGGTGATTTCGAGTTTAGTTGTTTGTAGTTTGAACGTAGTTGGTTGCTGTTGGGTTCTTATGTTTCTCTTTGTGCCTTTAACGGAAATTGATTGTTTTTTTTCTTGGTTTAACTCTTATTTGTTGTTTACGTCGTTCTCTTGTAATTATATTGATTTGAGTTATGACTGGTAGCGCCTTAGTTTCATGTTTAACTTGTAACCCCACGTCTGTTGCTCACAGCTTTGTTTTGAATTCTGTTTTGTTGCGAAAGTAAATGTGAGACTATTCGACCATATTCGAAGAGGTGAAAACCAGGAGCGTGAGATTAGGTTCTTTTGTTCTTATTGATTTTTCATTAGTAAGAACCATATCTCTGTTTCACTCATGTGTTCGCCTTACTTCGATGTTTCTTCTTTTTGTTTTCGAATTGACCGGTCGTTCGGTTGAGGTACTTAGTGGACAAGGCTTGTAATTTGAAGTATTGAATTGAGCCAACTCTCTTCACTTTTTGGTATCCTAGCTAAGCGTAGATGATTGTGTCGGTGATCATGCATGTGAGGGAGAGACGAGTTAGTGCTTCTCTTCGGGAATGAACGCATGAAGATACCGTTCCCATCTCATGCTTTCTTTTAACTTCAGCAACGCTTTGAAACTAGTAAGAAGTAGTGAGGAACAGACACTGTTGGAGTTGTCTTAGTAGTTCTTGCAATTGAGATTATTAAAGGTACTGGTTGATTGTGAGAGGCGATTGGAACAACTTTACTATTCTGCTTCTCTCTTCAGTGGAAACATACTTTGTAATTCTTTTCCACATAGTCTTCTATTACGTCGCTTGAATCATTACTTTGATGATATATTTTGAAAGGATACCTACACTGGCCCCACCTTTGTACCATTCCTGACGAGATGTCTCATTCAGGCGATGTAGAAAGCCGTCTCAGTAACTGTTGGAAAAGAACATCACATTGTTCATTTGTGTTTTTTGGAGAACTTATTCGTAAAAGAGTAGAGTATTGTGTTAACTTGGGTGGTATGGGGTGTGACAATGATAGCTTAACTCCTCTCATTGGTTCTGCCCATAGAGGAGGGATCCTCTTGGGTTCGCTCTATTGCGAATCTAGGAGGAAGAGGAAATATTGACGAGCAGATACTCTTGAAGTAGTCTTGGTAGTTCTTGCAATTGAGATTTTTAGAGTTGGTGGTTGTTGGTGTTGATTGCGAGTCCCTTGTGTTGTTCCTTTGAAAGAGGTTCTCTGTGTTGTCGATTTCTTATAAAACTCATTCATATTCTTATCGCTTCGCATTCTTTATGTTCGTCTGATTGGAAGTTTCTGAAAGTGAGAATCACTGAATACTCGGTCGCACTGGCCCCACCTTTGGGCTGAGTTGCCGGAGAGTTTCGCTGGATTGAACTGAAGTCAGGGAATATAAGGTGTGAAACTGGTAGAAGATGTTGAGAAGGAATGGATAGATATGTGAACCAATGGGGAAGTGATATGTGAGAGAGAGAATCTTCTCCTCAATAAGAGGAGTCCTCCCTAATGGACTGCTTTCGAGTGGTTCAGGGAGGATTCAACAAATCTTTTTTTCTCGGGGATCCGG